TCTTTCATTAATCCTCTACTTTACCCAGCATGGTGTCTCTATCTGGGAACTGGTCCTTTCTCATGACACGTCTGAAGTATGTGAGATAAAGTCTCCATCCTCACGCCTAAAGAGGGTTCTAACTGTATTTCCGAGACAGATTTATTTGTTCTTTAGTTCTTCCAGCTGCATGGTATATTCTGTATTCTTTACCAGCATTATAATGCAAATGCATCAGTATTTCTTCAGCCTTCATTATTCAATGTCCAATTTCTCATGCACAAGAGGCAATTGGAAATCCCATGACTTGATCAGGCCATAGAATAGGATAATTCTCATTCTTCTACTTCATAAACTGTACCTCTCACTCTCTATTGAGAGTAGTTCTGGTGTTCAGATGAATCCTTCAATAAACCTTTCTGTCTCTTTGATTATTTTGAGAGGTGTTTAAATTAAGATTGTTTATTTAACCCATTCAACATTTATCTAATTCCTATTCTTTTAACATCTAAAGTAATGTATTGGTGTTTTTCATAATATTAAGACTAGTTTTGGGGCATAAAAAGAGATAGATAGATAGATACATACATACATACATACATACATACATGATTGATTGATTGATTTGGACCTTTTCAGGTTATTATAGATGATTTAAGGACACTTGAAAAACTTCTTGTTTCTTAAGTAGAAAATAAGGCCCAGTGCCTTGTAAAACATGAAAAGTAAGAATTCACAGCCTCAACTATAGGAAAGAATAAACATTTACAGAAATCTATTCAGTATTTAAGGAGGCCAGGTGTCACAGTAGTTAAGTTAGACTTCTGTCATGTTGGTGGTTTGAACCCTCCCAGTTACTATGCAGGATAAAAAGACCTAGTGAATGAAGATTACATAAATTACATGAAAGACCTCCAGAAGACGATCACATGGAGTCACTATGAGATGGAATTGACTCAGTGGCATCTAAATGCAATAGCAGTGTTTCCGTATTTATGAAACTTGGAGCAACTTAAACAGCTGTGTATCCAAATTATTTGAATAAGAATAATGGAAATTTTGCCTTGAAGAAAGAAACAATTACTAAGAATAATTTTTTCTTTTTCTTTTTGATAGTTGTAAGTATGTACAGGCAACCATTTAGGAGATGTACTTTATTTGATCACTGCTGTTTTAGGTTTTGATTTTGAAAACTTAAAATGAATACAAAGTAAATTATGGCACAAATTCCTAAGTACCTGTTTACCTTGTTAGATGCTGGTAAACTGCTTGTTTTGCTAGTCTTTAGAATTGAAGGGAGTGTCAAATACACAGAAGCCAGAGTCATCTTGGCCAGATGGTGTTTGATACAGATGGATGGTTAGTTGTCATGCAGATCTCCTAGTTGGTAACTTGTTGCTGCCATCTGACTCAAAGAATCATTCACACACACTGGCTGTCAAAAGCATCTTCTCTTCTGTCTGTTTTAGCTGTCATGTCTGTGCTCTGTACAGAAGTGTTGACAAGACATTGCTGTTGTACATTTTCAATTTGGTTGGTAGTGATTTTTATGTTTTCTGGGGTCTTTGATGGTGCTGAAATGTACTTACTTTGTAGTTGTGCAATGTAAAAAGAAATTGTTACAGAGCAACAGTTGTCTGACCTTTTAATAAAACTTTGCAGGTTATATGTTTATTCATTTATGTTCACTGGACTAATAATACAAAGGGGGAGGGAAACTTCTTGTTTCATTCTGTTTCCAAACACAGCTAGTAAATTGAATGCTACTGGTTATTTCTCAGTTTGTTGCAATACCCTGTTCTGGACTTTACCTCTGGCATTATGCTCAAGATCTTAATACTGTTTCAGAATCTGTACAAATTATTACCCTTTTTTCTTTTTTATTTCTTCTCCAAAATGTCAAATTTTGCCTATTCATTTTCTTAAACTTACTGTTCCTTTGTCTTATTCACCTCCTGACCTTGTCTAGTTTTTCCTGTTTCCCTCGTAGGAATATAAGCAAAGCTGTTTCTCTATCCTTTAGTTGTCTGATGCAGGCTTATCTATTTCTGTGATAATTATTAAGCATCTTTGTTTATTCAAACAATATTTACTGAGCATCTCAGTATGTGCCAGGCACTCCACTACACTCTGGAGATACTAGAAAAAAAATATTCTCTACCCATGAGGAGCTCATAGTCTGCTGGGAAATCAGACTTTTAGACAATTAAACGAGAATATTATAATTGCTTTAATGTGTGTGGAAAGCGAAGTTGGAGAACATGAACCATTACTATGCTCTCCTCCATTGTACTTCCAAAATATCTGATTTTTTAAATATTATAGAATTTGCATGAATTTTCATAATACTTGATTAAATATATTTTAAGTTTTTACTTAAAGTAGCCATGAATCTATTGCTTCTTCCCAGCTAATGAATGTATTTTAGCATTATTCGTTTATTCTGTTTTATATGCAGAGCATGTTTAGAAGCCAGTGACTTGAAGATGAAAATTAACTGACAGAAGCTTTCTAAAAGAAAATATGTAGTCATTTGATTTCTGTACTATAGGGGGAAAAGCATCATAGATAGAGAATGGACTGCAATTTGCATAGTACTTATTGTGAGTTAGATTTTTAGGATTTTAATCTCCGGACAGTATCACCAAAATATATCTTTCAAATACAGTGAAAGAATGTATAATTAGTACTTGATTTAATGAGAAGCTTTATAGAAAGTTCATATTAGCACATTTGGAGATTTCTTCAGCCTTAGTGGCTCTGTAACCCAAATAAATTTAAGGTATAAATATTTCTGAAGAGCAGACTAGTTTCTTCTTTCAGTCAATATTTTCACTCTAGAGGTTGAATATGAACTTATGGAATAATCAGATACTTGTCCTTGGAAACCTAGCTCTATACTACATTTTACCATCTAATATTCAGTTCTAAGAATCCTATTTATAGGATGCATGGTTCAGATGGGCTCAGGAAAAAATGCACTTGGATTCTATTATTTCTTCTTCCTTCTCATCCTTATATACTGAAAAATCTCTATGTTTAAGTTATGATGTGGAATTCTGTAAAGAGTGTTGTTACCTAACGAATTTGTAACGATAACATGCCACTTGGATTGCTTATCAGCTCTTACCTTTTATTTGTGTGTAAAGTATATTACTTATAAAATTTCAACTGTTATTTGGAAATATGAGATATTTGCTTTAATTCCTTGAACTAATTTACTTTTTAAAAACTGAGAACAACTAATTAATTTATCAAAGACATTTCTTAATCTCTGAAAACATAACTTCACATATTTTGATGAATATTCTAAAACCAAATACTTGATACTTACTGAGGTTCTTTCAAGTATTATTAGAGTCTAATTTATAATTTTAGGAGATTTACAGTCTTCAATTAAATTGTTTCTTCAGTGACAGAAATGAGTAAACTTTTTCTGGCAATTTTTAAGACCTTGTACTAATTTGGTAGTTGTACTATTAATTTTTCAAAGTTGCTTTAAGGTTTGTACCATCTTTATTTTATTCTCTAACCCAAACTTTTCCCCCCATGTTTTAGTTGCCTTACTGTTGCAATAAAGTAAGATGAATGGATTAAAAACATAGCAGGAGGTGTTTAAGATATACACTGAAGATTAACAGGAGTGTTCTGACTTTTTAGAACATTCTTAGAAGTTTCTGTTCAATGTAATCTTGTAATTTTTGTTTGCCTCTTTGATTTTAATGCATCTTATGTGTAGCTAGTTTCGTCAGTATTTTTGTATTCTAGAAATCAATTTAGAGGTGTTTTTATTTAGAAGACCTGAAAGTTTAGTTTTGTTTCGAGTTAGTGTTTATATGTTGTTAGGTGCCATTGGGTTGACTTGCACCTTCATAAAAAATCTCCATCCTCCTTAAGCCCATTGTATAATAATTGTGTCAGTGCATTGTATTGAGAGTCTTCCTGTCTTTTGCTTCCTCTTTACATTACAGACTACCTTTAATAGAGGGAGTTCTGGTGACCTAGGCTGTAGGAAGTTGGCACTGCTAACCCAAAAGGTACCTCTCTGGCAGTTTGTATCTACTAATGGCTCTGAGAGGAAACTTGGGTGGCCTAATGGCAATAAGACGAGCTACTTTCACGAAGGCACATTGTTCTATAGCTGTTCCACAGAAGAGTGAGCAATCTTCTTTCATGTGATTAACTGCCTCTAAAAGCCCACTGGAGAGTCAGCCATGAGTCAGTGCCAACTCGATGGTTGTTGTTTTTGTTATGTGCCGTCAAGTCGTTTCCGACTCATAGCGACCCTATGCACAACAGCTCTAAACCCTGCTCTATCCTGCGCCAACCGCACCGCCTCTGACACACCCATCCCGATTACCCCAGTCACCGAATCAATCCATCTCATAGAGGGTCTTCCCCTCCTGCGCTGTCCCTCCACCCTCCCAAGCATGATGTCCCTCTCCAAGGACCCGTCCCTCCTGGCAACATGTCCAAAGTATGTCAGACGAAGCCCCAGAATCTTTGCCTCCAAGGAGTAGCTTGGTTTAATCCTCTCCAAGATGAATCTGTTTGTTTTCCTGGCAGTCCATGGTACATTCAGTACCCTTCTCCAGCACCACAGCTCAAAAGCATCCACTCTCCTACACACAATAATAACAGAGTCATCTCTGAATCAGTTCTGCTTAACAACAACGAGTTTTTTGGTTTTGACCTATAATCTAAAATAATTTTACCATACTTTTCTTTTTGTTATCATTAAGCATTAAATTAATCCATTTTAACTGAGGGACGAACCAAGAAGCCAACTCTTGACAAATTGTTTTCATTACAATTCTTTTTTAAAATTTCTCTACTGCTTTAATTAAATATTTTAAGTCACTAATTTTTTTACAAATGGAATTTTTATTTCTTAAGTACGTATTCACAGTACCTGGGAAATAGCAACATAGGCAGGCCATATCTATTTCTAATTACTAATGGAAAGTCAAATTTATATGTCTATCAGTAAATATCAGACTAACTGGTTTTTATGTCAGCAGACTGAGAACTATGAGCAGAGAATTCGTGAGCAACAGGAACAGCTGTCACTTCAACAAACTATTATTGACAAGCTAAAATCACAGTTACTTCTTGTGAATTCCAGTCGAGGTATGTTCATATTAATTCTTTTATCTATTTCTTGAACCTCTTTGTGAAAATCACATTTTTGGGTTGTGGGGTTTTTTTAAAAAAATCACATTGTGCTGTTTTATTTCTGTTTTTCAGTTGTTCTGATATTAATAACTCTGGCATAGTTACATGTTTATGTTTATTTAAGAAACAAACACTTCTACAGTAGCAATAAATGTGTACTCACAAACATGATATAGTGGATTCTTAGTTAATAAATTAATAGAATTTCTTAGAAGGCTTTTTTACCAATAATCATGGAAATCTTTTAATATCTGTACCTTTTGAGTCAGAATATCAGAGCGTAATGAACTATAAGAATATATTTGCTCAAGTAGTATAAGTATATACAGAGAGGTTCATTACAGTATTCTTAATAATGAAAAACTAGTAATAACAGAAATGCTAAATTGTGGTTGTCCATATGATGAACAATCTAAATAAGCAAAGAAAGTAATAATAAATTTTAACTTACTAGCATGAAATCTTTTCATGGTATGTACAGGAAAATGAGCAAAGCAGGATACAAAAATTAATGTTATTTCATTTCTACAGAAGTAAATTCTTATATGACTTTATATGTATGTTATTGTTGTGTACCATTGAGCCAGGACCAACCAATAGCTGGACCTCTAGTGGATTTGCAGAGGCAGTAAATCTCCTAAGAAGAGATTGCCCACCTGTCACCCATGGAGCAGCTGGTGGGTCCAAACCACATACCTTTGTGTTGGCAGTGCAATTCCTTACCACTAAGCAACCAGATCTCCTCTATTAAAATAAAACCCAGCATGTTAATATGTTAACAAAAAGTAATTCGTAGATGATAAAAACTGTGGTGGTTTTTATTTACTTAGTTGTTTAATTTTGACCTTTGTGCATTTTCTAATTTTCCTGCAATGACCATCAAATTGCTATGTAAATAATTATTATAAACAAAGTTGGTTACCTGAAGACAGACTTAAAGAGTATTTGTTGCTGGCAGTGAGATACAAAGAACATGTGCCTATATTTTGCATATTTGGCACACTGATTTTGGAAAAGAGTTTTATGAATTTTAATAGAAAAGAAATGTTTGGGGGGTTTGTTTTTACAATTCTTGGCTTAAGTATATGTACTTTGAAATTACAGTTTTTGGTTTATGTTCTTTTCCATTTTTTTTCAGATGATAACTAAAAACAAAGATTTCCTACTGATGTCCAAGAGATTTTTGTTTTGCAGATAATAGTTATGGCTATGATCCTCTGCTTGAAGACAGTGACTCAAGGAAGAATAATTTGACTCTTGATCTGCCACATGATAAAGTGATATCAGGAATACCAAGAGAAAAGCAATTAAAGGTAGATTAATTCCCTAAAAGAGATGAGAAATCAGGTTCATAGACTTCCTGAATTATTTAGTCGATGTTCTGTCATAGCTTGGTGGTCAGGTAGGAGGGAGAAAGTGAATAAGATTCATTTCAACTCTAAAATCCCCAGAAAGCAACACTCAAATGCTGACATAGCATATCTTACTCATTTTATTTTCTAAGGTGATACTACCAGTAGAGTTCTAAGCAGAAGTTTTTATATATATATATATACACACACACACACATATACACACACACATATATATATATTTATATGACTTACATGTTCCTAAATAAAAGTACTGCGTACAAGTGAAATAATGGAATAGGCTTTATATTTCCAATTGTCAGGCATTTTTTTTTCTGTAATACAGCGTTTGGTGAAGAAATACCTTAATAAACTAAGAAAAATAGTAAATACATAATTTTAGAATAAAAATAAGTATTCTAGTTTGTTGTTTCTGTTGCCTGTACATAATTTTTAAAAATTCACTTAAGCAGGATTCTTTATTGAAGTAGTATATAAAGGAGACCAAAGTGTGCCTGATCTAGGGCATAGTCTTTGCAGTTGCTCACCATGTGTCAGAGAGCTAAATAGTGACTAGGGATGATAGAAAGAGAATTGATGCCTTTGAGCTGTGGTGCTGAAGAAGAGTGTTGAATATACCATGAATTTCCAGGAAAATAAACAGGTGAACTACAGAGAGTGTGAAGCCAGCCTGCTCCTTGGAGGCAAGGATTCTGAGGCTTCGTCTGATATACTTTGGGCATATTGTAAGGAGGGACTAGTCCTTGGAGAGGGTCATCATGCTTGGAAGCGTGAAGGGACAGAGAAAGAGAGGTAGACCATCAGTGAGATGGATTGATACAGTGACTGGGATAATGAGGGTAGGTGTGTCAGAGACAGTAAAGTTGGCACAGGACAGAGCAGATTTCAGGGCTGTTGTACATATGGTAGCTATGAGTCACACGTGACTCTGTAGCACATAACAATAACAACAGCCACAACATATAAAGGAATATTCCCTACCTGCAAGGAGGCAAACACTAAGATATTTACTCTGCGTTGATTAGAAATAACCTAAACATCTATCAGTAACAGAATAGTACATCTTTATAATGAAACATCTTAGAAAAATTAATATAAACTAGATATTTGCATATCAGTGTGGATATATCTAAAAAACAATGTTGAGTCAGAAATGTAAATTAAAAGATTTCAAAATAGGGATAATAGTTCATGTAATTACTTAAAATATTACTCCATCAAAGTTTATTGAAATAAAAGTATATGTAGTTAAAAGCATAAAAACATGGATAGATAGGAATTGACACCAGCAGTCAGGAAATCTCTTGTCCCAGACCTCTCCAACAGTAGAGAAGCAACAGTGTCAGTCTAGAGACTAAGGTGGCCTCATCCAGGCCATGGTCTTTGCAGTTATTTGCTATGCATCAGAGAGCTAGAGGTGACTAAGGATGACAGAAGAAGAACTGATGCCTTTGAGTTGTGATGCTAAAGAAGAGTATTTAACAGACCATGGACTGCCATAAGACAGTCATTCCTGGAGAGGGTGAAACCAAGTTGCTCCTTGGAGGCAAAGATTTTGAAGCTCCATCTGACATTTTGGGCACGTTGCCAGGAGGGACCAGTCCTTGGAGAAGGACATCATGGAGGGTCAGTGCAGGAGAGGAAGACCGTGGATAAAATGGATTGACACAGTAACTGGGTAATGGGGGTAGACAGGGAGATTGGTTCAGGATAGAGCAGGGTTCAGAGCTTCTGTGCATAGTCGCTATGGGTCACAGTCAACTCAAAGGCACATAACAACAGTGACGAAAATAATAGGTAAATACTCATCAACAATGAAAGGAGAATGCTATATTTCTTTCTACATAAAGTAGCAGATATTAGCTTAATTTATCAATTATTCAATTATTAGTCCATAACTAAGATAATCTTCAATTTTTGTTCTAACTCAGAAGTTCTTATTTACCATCAAATCTGAAAGCTCAATGTTGAAACATTCTGCAAATAAAAATTTTTAAATGAAAAGTTCTCTAAGTTTAATTTTCATTTCTTAATTCATATTTTTACCATTTTTTGTTTTAATAATTTGATTCTCTCATCACCCCTACTTCAATTCCACTTCATGTGAATATGTTAATAAACACTAGACACAGTAGCACTAGAGTATGTTCACATTTATTTCACAGAAAAAGACATTCAGAAACCATGATTTTGACTTTTGAAATTCAGCTTCATAATTGAGTCTGTTAGAACATAAAGTCTTTTCTCCCCTAGAAAATTCTGGTATATGAGAGCTATGCAAATAATATTCTTTTGTTTCAAGTACTTCTAAATGCCATTATTTGATAATGGATTTTAATGAGATTTTTAAAATTTCTAGTTATAGCATTTCTTTGAAGATGCTAGAAAGTATTTTTAAAAATAGCAGTCATTATTGTTAGAACCAAAAGAATAATGTAAAAGACTCCAGGATATTTTAATAATTTATTTTCTTTTAAATATAAGTAATTTTTGGTTATTTATAAAAAATTTTACAGTTTTTAGTTAACTTAAAGTTATAAAAAGTCTTCACGTGGCTCAGATAGTTTACCCTCAGCTTACAATCAGTTTTCTTAATAATAGGGAAAAGTCTATAAAGACTACATTTTAGTACTCTGAGGAGCTCTGTTTATATTGTAGCCATTTAATGAAAAACTATCATCTTACATTTCAGCTTTCTTTTTCTTCTATGTATATTTAGTCAAAGTATTACTGAGTTAAAGAGAACAAAAAATATAAAAAGAAATAGATAAATTTTATTTTGTTCTCTTTTTCATTAAAAAAAACCTTTTTTAATGAAAAAGAGAAAAAAGAAATAGATAAATTTGATTTATTGAATGTTACTGCTGTCCAGTCAGAATCTACTCATACATAGTTTACCCTCCAGCTGGTTTTCAGAGACTGCAAATCATGTGGGAAGAGCTTCCTCACCTTTTTCATACAGAGTGGCTAGTGGATTCGAACTGTCTACTTGCCCGTCAGAATGTTTGAGAAAGAGAGTAAAATAAGAAATTAGGCTTAATTTAGGAAAATACTGATCAAACTAGCAATTGAAAAAATTTTCACTGGCATATTTACTTATAATTACATTTTCTTTTTTTACATCTGATACAAATAAAAATCCCTTCCTATAAAACTGAATTATTTTATTATTAATTAGTATTTTTGCACAAATGAGGGAGCTTTGCTGGCCTGGTGTGTAAGAAGTTCTTCTGCTAACCCAAAAGCAGCATTTCTGTCAGTTCAAATCCACTAACAGCATCAGAGGGGAAAGACAGGCAAAATCTCCTCCTATGTAATTACAGCCTCCCCCAAAGCCACTGGAGGCTCAGCTCTGGGTCAGTTCCTACTTGACAGCAATGGGCTTAAGTTTCAGGATTAAAGCAGTGAAAAACTCATGAACACTGTAACTAGGGATAACTGTAACTGACTTATAAACTGAATCAAAAGAACCCTTTTGGGAGAGATTAAATTTATGGTTCAGTCTCTGGTTATGTCAATCCTACAGAACATAAGTGAAAACAACAGAGTCTACATCATTGCATGATCCTTAAGTACTTAGTTTAATGGAATACCTGAATTTAGTATCTAATCCACCACTGTAATTTGTATAGTCTTTCCTAATGGGATATGGTTATGGGAAAGAAGACATGTCTTTTACTTATTACAAAATAAATTACCCGTAGCATACTCCAAAAATTACTAGCTTAAAATACTAGCTCCTGTGCTTAATAGTTTAAAACAACAAATATTTTCATCTCAATTTCTGTTTAGATTAGGAATTCAGAAGCTACTTCACTAAATGGGAGATTCTAGCTCAGAGTTTTGTGTAGCCGAAGTCAAGATGTGGGCGGGGCTAAAGGTTTAACTGGAGTTGCAAAGTATGCTTCTGAAATAATTCATTTAATATGGCCATTGTGAGGAGTCCTACATCATGGGCTTCTTATCATGACATGGCAGCTAACTTTCTTGAAAGCAAGAAATTCTACAGTAAGTCCCAAGAGTTTGGTGCTTTAATTATAATGCCCATAATGTCTGATCATCCATTCTTCCCATATTGTCTTTCTCTTCTCCCATCTTAATAAGCGTTTGTTGTTTGTTTACTTGTAAATGAATGGGTTTTTATTGTGCTGGAATACTTGATAATTTTTAATTAAACTTTGAACTTTTTGAACTAACAAAATAATAGAGGCTTGAAATAATACTATATTCCAATAGAGATTCACTTTTGCTTCTGATAAATAATTAGAAGAAAGCATATAAGTGGGTGTTTTTATCTATTAATTTTCCATTCTCCCTCCTTTCCCACCCTGGTACCATGCTAGAATAATTATCTCTGTATGTAAATCTTTCTTTAGTTTTTTAACAAAAAAATAGTCTTACACAGTATTTGTCCTTATGTGGCAGGCTTATTTCACAAGCGTAATGTTCTCTAGATTCACCTGTATTTTACATGAATTCATTAATTCTTCATTGTTTTTCAGTGCTGCATAAAACTCTATTCTATGAATGTCCCATGGTTTCTTTATCCTTTTGTTGATGGGCACTAACTTCTCATTATTGCATTGCTCTCTTTGCTGTTGTAAATAATCGTGCAGTAAACATGGGTGTGCTGTATCTGTTTGTGTCACAGATCTTATTTATTTATAATATATACCTAGTAGTAGAATAGCTGGATCAAATTGTATTTCCATTTTTAACTTTTTAAAGAAATTCCATATTGCTTTCTATTGTGGTTGTGCCTTTTTACATCCCCCATTAGCAATGTAGCAGTCCCTCCACACCCTTGCCAGCATTTGTTGTTTACTGTCTTACTAAACTTTGCCGTTGTTGCTAATGAGATACCTGATACCTCATTGTTGTTTTTATTTGCATCTCTAAATTCTTGTAAATTGTTCTTGTAAATTTTATTTCACTAGAGT